CAGGAGAACCTGCTGCCTTTACATCGAATTTATGCAATACGTTTATTGGATCAGCAGCTGCCTGAATCGTTTACTACTCTGCTTGGTCGTTCGGAGGAGCAGTAGCTACTATGGAAGCATGGCAAGCGAGGTTAAGGGGCCTTGCTCAGTCCCTTCTTCTCTATAGCGGCCAGACTGATTGTGAATAACAGATTAGAAGCAACGTAAGCCCGTTATAGATCACAGTTCCATCGATATTTATGTCGTCACCGAGTAAGGATATGTATCCAGTGCGTTCTAATTTAACTAACAAAGTTTAATCTCAAGCTCGTTTTTTTCCTGTTCGACTCTCCTCTTCCGTTATGTACAAGTAAAGTAATAACCATAGATGTAGATGCCATTGCCGTTTGGCCCCACATAATATAGACATGATAATACTGACTCTTCCCTTTTTTATCGCTCGCCATTTTTTCGTCGTCTCTCACTATACCTGAAGTGCAATGATAAATGAGCATTAAATTGCCAGTGATTTGTTGCATCTGCCAGCCATATTGTTTGCCAACCGAGATTACGTTGTTAATGAGCACATAATTTTTGATGAGTCAATAATGAATCATAATTGAAAGATGCTTTGACGACGGTTTATTGAATTTTGTCGCAGTGAAAACGAATAACGTGGCGGGGACAGTGACTGTTAAGAGTTCAAAAGTTAAAGCTTCTGAACATGACTTTAACTATAATCACTACATTATTAGGTATAAGTTGGAATTAAGTAAACGCTGTAAATAATCTTGCAGTGGCTGGTGCAGTCTGCCTTCATAGGAAAACTGCCAATTAATCAGGTATCTCAGTTGGGTGACCGTTAGACTAGCAACGAAAAAGTCTGAAGAAGCTGCAAACCGCTAAAACAAAGATTGCTCAAAGCAGAGTTAAATCTAAAACTAAATGAGGTTGTCATTTTATCGACATGGGCTTTTTTTTTTGTTATCGGACATTAATTTCGAAAACTTCGATGTGGACCTAAGACAGTATTCGAGTATCGTCAACAGCCAGTCGTCAGAGGCAATCGCAAACGTAATTAGTTTTACCGCTATCTGTAACACCAGTTGAATCAGTCAGATTTTAATAGAGGCATAATATCTACGTGTAGTTGGCCGTTTTCTCATAACGCGCCTATTCACAGAACGGTAGAAAACGTTTTCGAAGTTATTCGGGTGTGTCTCTGAGGACAGCAGACGGATACATCATGAATTCGACGAATAAGGCTAGTAATCACAGACTGTTGTGTGTGCATCCAATCGTATAGAATGTATTCGTTTCGGGGAGCTGCAACGCTTCATCTCGTAATGTTGTAACAATTTGGTAGAGCGCGGAGGCCGAATTCGCAAATATATACAGCATTTCATATGATGATTGTAGCACTATCTACTTCGAAAACTAGCCGCGTTACCTATTTTTATTTATGATTATATTGTACGTACGGTTCGGCTGACTTCACTAATCACCTCTACAAGTGTATTAATTAAAATCTATCAATTCAGAAAATGAGCGACAGCTAATTATAGGTAAAATAGGCCTGCCAGTAGGGAATGCTGATGATGAGGTGTTCCGAAAACTAGTTGAAACAAACTAAAATAGAGATGAAAACGTATTTGATAGTTGCGTTATTCCTTAGTAAAGTGTATAAATATCTCAGTAAGCTCTACTAGCTATCCGCACCATGCGTCATCTACGTTGCTACATGTTAGACAAGCTTTAAATAAATCGGCTAAACACTCAGGGCAAATAAATTTGAGAGTATTGTTCCTTCTGCCGCTCTTATAGAACGCGCCTTGTCCTTACGTCCCGCGCAGTCCTGGAACGTCAGTGAGAAAACTCTCCCGACGTCGTCAGATAGGACCGCGCACTTCGTAGCAATTCTTTAGACTACTAGAACAAACTCGTCTTTCGATGTTTGATGTTTACTATCGCTCGCACGGTCAGCGTAGCCGGCCAGAAAGCTTGCATGACGTGCCAATTTTAAAGCGCCTTCTGAAGCATTCTTCATACCAGTGAACCTTTGGGCTTTTACAGAAATTCTATGAACATGAAAAGCCGAGTAGATCATGTAGCCAATTACTTTTACTTTATGATGAGCGCCGGTAGTCAGCTGAACAAGGAATGTGCTCAAGTCAGTCCTTTTTCCGTAGTAGCTAGACCAAAATATGTATAAATCCCTCATTGGCTCTTAAAATTTACTTGGGTTTAAGTGTTGGGAGATCTATTTATATGATATAACAGTAGAACGCAAAAAGCATGAACAGATTAATTAGATTTTAGCAGAATAATCGATCTCATAAAAAAGCGAAATGTATATAGTTTGTTAGGTTCTTCTAACGGTATTATATATGTCTTACTTTCAAAGAATGTACCTACCCCGAACGTTGTTTGCTCTGAGGCATAAGGGACTGTCAGCGTGTCCATGCAGAAATGCTTAATTTCATTCGCATTGATCCGTTTGAAATATCAGCATTATCAAACAGATCAACCACCGGCTCCAACAGGACTAATTCTAGCCAATCTCACATTGCTTAAACAGTCACCTGTACATCTAGGTGGTGTCACTCTATCCTGGCCTGTTTAAGAGAAAGGCTCAGGGCACATTTAAGGAATTGCTTGGGTCGTGAGCCTAGGTTGATCGAAGATGGCTGTTCCAGAGACAAGAGTAAGGACTCTTTCGAGGAAGTATAGTGTGCTCGGCTAGTACGTAGTCAGGACAGGTGTTTATCGAATGAAGGGACACTGTTCGAGTTATTTGAAGTGAAACTTTTTTGTATATACAATGCATGCCTATGCATGGGTCCTGCTGCCTACATACATAAGGCTAAGGAATGGATCAAACATTGAGATAATTTGGTTGAATTACAAATTAGGCTACAAATACGTTCCTGTCTATAACAGCTACAAATCTTACAATATAGCGAATCTAGCTTGATTGATACGTCGGCGTAGGGCAGAATAGCGACGCTAAAATTCTCAAGATGATCGTTTTTTCGTCTAAAACAAACGCAACGGGAAGATACACACAAAGGTACATTATACGGTTTGTTCTAGTTAGAAAGGTAAACGTTCCACTCGTCCAGACAAATCACCAGCGCAAATCTAACACAGAATCTAGTTCCAGACTCATCGTTTTACATCCACGACGAGTATATGCTTCGAGAATGGCTTAGTCCAAAAATGACCGGGGTGCCATTTAGAGAAGTGTGTAGCATTTACGGCTGGAAGATCAAATGATGAATCTTAATATAAGCACCTGAACAGAACGTGGCAACTCCATTAGACACGAAGATCACGCATACGCCCAGATTTGGTGAGCCACTAACGTGTCTAATTTTAAACGGTGTCATCATAGTAAACGAAGCAATACGATCACGAAACTCAACCTAAATCATAGGATCATAAAGCAAGCACAGACTAAATGCAATGTTGAGCTTTAGAAGTAGCTACAGTTGAAGCTGATTCCGTTCCGAGGAGCGCGTCAACTTTCTGGTTCAGAAAATAGGACATGAAATAAAATTCGCAAGAGAAACATCTTTTCCGGTATCACTTGTAAACGAAACTATCCTTCGGCGCAGGCCACATGCCGTAGTGGAGTGTGTTCTAGAGGAACATAGGCTATTGCGTAAAACTGAATGATGTTCTATTAAATAAGTAGCGTTGTGCCTATCCTAATGTATCTGTTTAGATTTAATTCATAGAGACTTTTATTTACGAATAAAACAATCCGCAATAAGAAAAAATTGATGCTCAATGAACCGACCACGTTTTCGAACCAATAGAACAACAAAAGTTAGTTTTTATTAGTGCTAGCAGCTACATGCCTTTGTCTATAAAAATCGCTTGGCGTGTACCTTGATCTGTTATTTAAGTAGTCGCATCTTGGTCCGTGATCAGCCCCAAAGGCGGTTATGCAAGTGGCATATGGACACCCACCTCTATGGGGATCAAGAGAAGGCCTAATAGAAGTCTCCCTTTGTCCTAGTTCGACGGATGAAAACACTAACGGTTTCCAATATTCTAAAGAACACGTCACGCGGGGTTAGGTCATTCATCAGTTAATTTTTGACGAACATAAGCTATTCTATTACAGCTACCTGTGTCCTACATTTTACAAAGCGAAGTAACATCAGTTTTTTTTTTTACCATAGAAAATACCGTTCATTCAACAGACACAACTATATTTGCCTGTCACATGAAACTGGCACATGTTGGAACAGCAGCATGTAATAGTAGCTTTTTAATGTAAATTAAAGTTACTCAGATTCGCGATAGTGGCGAGGTTTCATAAAAAGCGGAGACCAATATAACCAACAAGCTTTTTACATGATTTATTCATCTTGCCCTTTTCTACGGAGTCCGTATGTACAGCAGCTTGCTGCTTATGGGCTCGCTTGGGCAAATTTACTATATAGTAAAGGCGGAAAGAAGAAAGAGAAGAGATTAGCTGACCGTTCATTCTAACCGGATGTAGGCGGAAACACATGAGCTCTCAACGGTTAAACTGATAGTGAGATACAGTAGTATATGATACAATGCCCATGTACAAGTTCTGTTTGTCGAAATTGTTGTTTCAACTTCGTTTTGAGTCCGGCTACAAATTAATAAGGAACGAGGCAGTTTTTTCGACATTTGGGACGAGTCTCGCATAAACACCTTCTGCAATCAACAGTTAGGGTGTAGTTTGGTTACGTAGAATCAAACGGTGGAACTGCAAGACCCGCACTTCCTCGACTGCCAAGTACCACCGCTGCCGCGACCTAAAGGCGGTGGTCCAGACCCGCTATCGCCGCTTTCGTCATGTTTTAGTTTTAGGCCACCCGATGCTGATACCGGGGAAGAGCAACGTTGGCCTCTCCAACCCGCGCTCGCCTGACGACGAGTCTATCTGGTATGGTGCTTGCGTCGCCTGTTTGGGTATCTATATGTTTATGGGGCGTTCTCAAATGTTTGCACTATTTAGAAGGAAACGGGACGCCAGCCTCTTTTTTCTATACATACAACTATTAAGAAAGAAAAAGCTGCATGGCGAGCTTTCTGGCAAATACCAGTGGCTGTGTTCGACTTCATCGTATTGACGCTGGTCGTTTCAGGCGTGCTCGCACTCCGCCGATATTGTAGTTTTTTTTACTATCTTGACTGCTTGATAGTTCTGGCGATGTTTCCACGAGCGCTGCTGGTGACGGTTGTGTTTGTTACGAAAAACAAAGCGGGCTCTGGTCTCGTGATCGACTTACCTAGTAGAGCAAGACCCCTCATCGTCCAAAACTCTACGAACAAACGACGAAGGAACCACAAACTTCGTAATGGTAGCACGTTTCATGTAGATATGCCTTCGGATCTGCCTCATTGATCAACCAGAGGAATACAAAAGGACTAGACCTTAGTTCATAAAAAGTGAGTGACCATTGCTGTACTGCATGTTACATATATTACCTATTGTCATCCGTAGGCCTATGATTTTACAGTTACTAGCAACCTGCTCGTTAATGTAGTGCATACGAACGTACCGCAAGCATAACACTAATAGTGCAATTATCAAGTTAACTTTGTAACCCTCTTTAGCAAACCGTCGATGAACTTTAAAACAAGTTGATTGATCATAAACGGTTTGCTGGCTAAACGTTTAATTCATCTGAATTTTTACTCGAGTTTTTCGACGTTTCTCCATTCCTTACGCCGTAGACTGTGAAAGCCAGCCCACTTGATACAGTCTTCCTGTCATCTACGCATTAAAGTAGAGTAAACTTAAACTAGTTGCATTAATTCGGTAAATGGCATATAAAAAAAGAAACGCGTTTACGCAGTAAGCGAGATAGAAATTCAGTCTTGCAAAGTAACGAATCTGATAAGTTGATAAACTGAGAAAAAAGACCCTATTTAATTATATTGTTGTGAGCTTGTTCTATATGGCATAACAGCATCTCGATAAGAGAGAAGATCAATGTGCCGACACTCCGGTTATTTATTCAGTTAGATCGATGGATTTTCATAGAACTCGATGCTGAACGGTAGCCAGCTTGGTTTGTCGTTCTTTGTATTTGAATACTTTTCAATATAACAGTCGGTACTGAAGAAAACTCGCCATATTGGATTTTAGTCCGTGATCTGTGTGCTATCCAATCCAACCGTAACACGAATGCGGAAAGATCTTTCTACTGAACTTTCACCGTTTAGCTTTGAACTTAATAAGCTCCTTCTGCGCCTTTCGAGAGTAAGACTGACTAGATCCTAACTCAGAATAGCTCGAAATAAACCTTAGATTAAACAGGCTTTATCAAAATGGCCATATACAATAGTGGCAAAAGCAGAGACAACGGCAAAAAATATACCCACTTATATTGAATATCGCTTAGTATTGAAAACTTGATCGGTCAGTTTGTTCTGCGTAATTTTGGACCCCCGGAGGTAATCAGTGGTCATGCTTGTCGTTATATTTGAATTTAAATAGCAAGTTCTATTGTTAAAAAGGTATTGACCGCCTGTCTAGCTAAAGCCACCCAGTTAGAAACGTAAATAAGATATTTGTCTCTCACAAATAAAGATGTAGGTCGTGCCGGCATTAGTGTCATTTGAAAGCTCAGACTTCGCAGCAGTAGATGTATGTAGATATTAAGACCTGAGATGAGTGAAATTTCTGCATAGATTTGATCAGGCTTACACTTGTGTCACGATAAAGGCACAAATGCTGTTCAGACCCATAAAAGGATGTTTACTCTTTATGGTTATGATGTGTTCTCAGCAAGGACGATCCGAAGTTCCGATGTGCAAGGTACTTGTCGTAGTAGTCAACCAACTACTCAGGTAGTTAACGAAATCATTGCGAAAGTCGACTAGCCATGATATGGGCAAAGGACTAAATAGCCATCTTCGAATAGATTTAAATCCTTTGAAGAAGACTAGTTACAAAATAAGCTCAGGGTTTGGGTGTCACATGAGCTGACGTGAAAGAGCTTACGCGAAAAAGATCGTATTTCTGTCCCCAAGATTCTACACAATCGTGACAAAATATATTTTTTTATTTTTTATACATATATTTTTAAATTGGACTGGTCACGAACGATGAAAAAATAAATCATATACAACAATAATGTCGGAATCAAAATTGAAAATGTACACTACAGTCTATGCCAAAGTAGGTGACGTTACGGAATAGAGTCGTACGTTGTAAGTTTATGCTGCCTAACAAAACTATCTGTTCCAATCTTTCCTACTAACAAGTAACAAGATTGTAAGAAGCCATTTAAAAGATCTATCGCGGACAAATAAGGCGTAGTTCTCCACCACAACAATACGAAATCACGTACGTATTTAGCTTTCTGACAAAAATTAGGATAACTTGCAAAGGATATTTTAATACGTCCGGCTTGCGGTCCTCTTACAACATCAGATTATCGTTTGTTTAGGTTTTTGTAGAACCTTTGAATGGTGGTAGAATGGTGTTCGCTTGGTTTCAATGGAAGGATTCAAGAATAACTTCTTACAATTTCTCGCCAAGAAATCACAAAATTTGTACAACGGTGGGATTATGGTGTTACTAGAAAAATGGCAGAAGGTTGTCGGTAAAATATCGGTAATATTTTATATATTATATATAAAAAAGCAAATATAACAAAGAATATTTCCTCTAATTCTGGTTAAAGAGGCAACCCAATATGTATATAGAAGTTTTTAGAAATACCGGACAAAATTCGGGTAGCGACCGATAGTATGCAAAGTTGTCAACTTACTTTCTTGAAAATAGGTCCAAAGAGGGCATACACCAGGAAAGAGTGGCAGCGGGTATCTGTCAAGGATTTATGATTATTTATTATAAACAAAAATATTAAATTGGGCTATGCTACGACGATAAGTATAGATGTTTATTCTCTACAGAAATTAGCAGACAATATTTATGTACAGTGTACATAGAAATGTAATAATTATTCAATTTTTTGTTAGTCCATGTCGTTAAAAATTCTGTCAAGAATTTGGCGCTTCCTGCAGAATGCTAGCCTTTGGAGGCAGAATCGTTTGAACTATCCTGCCTTGTGATTGCAACAAATTCTAGCTGAACTGAGTTCATAGTCTCCTGGAGGCCTCAAAACTTTTAAGGCAAGCAACGGGCCTGAAAACGCCAGCACCACCTATCTGTGTCGTGCTCTAAATCCGTGTTTCCGCTAATGATAGCGGTTCCTGCTTTACGCGCGCGTTTACTTTTGCAACGCATAATGTGGCTTGCGTATGCTATCCTTAAGACATGGTCCGACATCTTGTTGACGCAATCTATCATCAGGCAAATAGTCTTTTTATTTATAACTAAGTTTATTTATAATTATAAACATACGTATCTAGCTGAGTTCGGTATTGTGTCGTAGTATTCGATTGTTGCTGTTATGATTGCTCTCGATAATATATGATTCTGACAATTACCAGTTGAATAAAATTTTCACTTCTGATTTGTTTACAATAATTGTTTGAAATTGCGATAATCGTCACGATACTTCAGAACATTCGGAAATAATAGCGCGTAAAATATCACCCAAGGGTAGCTCGAGCAGTAACTATTACACTTTTAAGCCTTATGGAAGCATTTCGCAGGGAAGAAGCTAATGTTAGAAACTACATCCTAAAACACAAAACTCTTAATCAATATCAGCCGAGTATCGGCAGTATTTCGAATATGCAAAAATCTATGTACACAATACTGGTGTGTTTTACACATCGATCACAAATACCACTACGAATTCCATTCTTGCACGGAGAAATCTCACTCAGAAAATTGCCTAATTATGATTTCGTTGTCTTTATCCATTTCCATTATTTTACGAGCGTACAGCACGCGTAGCGGTACGCAATGGTGTATTCTTTCGTAGGACAATGCCGGCGGAGGAAATAATGGTGGTGTTCTAGTTAGCAGACCGCTCATTACAACCCGTTTAGCAATTAGGCAAAGGCCAGCGAACAAAAAGGCCGACAGAATAGTGTACGCATGACCTTCTTCATATTTAATTGTCCGTCAGCCAACGACACTATTTTTTTTTCTGGTCAGCTGTTCTCGAGAGGTGACACTCTGTTCAACGCACTATTGCAGTCACGATAGGATAAAAAGAAGCCTGAGTGTTCGCTCTGGCCCGATTTCACGTTGCTGTTCTCCGTCGAGACAACGAAGGATGCTGTCAGCTGCTCACAGGATTTTTGCTGCCGAGTACCTCCCACGTCTCAGGTGCTCATTTAATTACCTATCCAGCGGGTATGGTGCTGGTGACAGCCACAAGCTTCGCAGAGGACGAGAACATTGCGGAACAGGGGAAAAATAGTCATAGTAGCGACATTAACGATAGAAAAAGCAGCACAGGTGCGGCTATCATCCGAACCGCCTTAAGCCGGTAGCGTTCTTTATCGTTCGTGCTGACTGCATCCGTGCGGTACTCGTGTGCACGTGGAACCACGTGGACGCAGGTCAAAAGGCCGAGCCCATTACTAGAGCCGTAGTTGCTGCACGGCACCGGCTTCCGTCAAAAATCAGCGATGTCCGGCTCCGAACAGTTGATACGCCACAGCTCTTGCGCGTCGATGGCGTTAAGGCAGCAGCAACTCCAGCTCTTCCTCTTCGCTCCACAGTACTTCTTCGTTGGTTTTTTACTGTCGTCCCCAGATCTGGCCCTAGTCCAAGCCCTTAGAATTCCTTTTCACTCTTCTCAGAGGTATGCACGCACCTATGTCTGTGGTCCTCCACACGCTCTCTAGACTAACGCTCTATCAGATACGACTCTTGGCACCACAGCACTCGTCCTATCTCTGTGTTTCGCAGTTCACCTCTGGGAGTGGGCAATATGGGCCAGCTTACGTCCTGTAATGCTGCTGCTGCTACTGTTAGTGTTGTACACTCTCACCGTCTCTACGGTTTTTGATCTGTCCGTGTGTGTTTCTCGTTACAGTGGTGCTTTCTCCGTCGTAGTATCGGTGAGGTCAGAACGGTGGATCTTTTAGTGGCAGTAGGTAACAGAGATGGCATTGGGTGAACGCTATGGAAACGGCAAGCGACTAGGCCTGGGCAGATTGTTCCCCACGACTACTTGTAGGCCTTAGGCCTCTCTGTTTTCCGGCGTCGCTTATTTCACTGCCTCCTTAAAAAACGCTCTTTTGAGCGTAAATGTCCGCTATACCAATATGCCACAACGCCAGCGGCTAAGATTGGATGTTAGGGTGCATGATAATAATAAAATTAGTAATAGAGGTGATGATACTCAGCGGTTTGTAGGTCAGTATATCTGTCGCATCAAAATGTTCTTCAAATCCTCATATATTTAAGAACGGGTGGCGCTGCTGTCGTGACAGCGGCAGAACCGGCGGTGTCGACGCAGAGTTTAGTGATGACAACAAAGGGCCATGTAAATTTTCCGATAGCACACAAC